TCAGCGTAAAGACGTTCAAGATCAGGGTTTAAGGGTACCAATGTGAATTGGACATTCCCCTTGTTAAGTGGGCGGTCATTTAAAATTACCAGGACAGTCCCTTTAAGTTTATATTTTTAAAAAGCAGAAAATAAAACATCCATCATTTTCCCTTGTCAAATATATATTTCCTATTATTTAAGTTTTTTGAACCCTAAATCATCTTGTCACTCTCAACTTAATTAATCAAAAATATTTTTACACAAATTTTAATAAATGAACATGAAAATTCTCAGATTTATTTGCGTGCTTATAGTGCTTTATCTTTTGATTTTACGGACGTCTTAACCACATCTATAAAGGAACTGAGTTTTTGCCATAAACTCCCATTATCTAATTTCTATATCTTTGCAACCAAACGTTGAAGACCTTTGATATAGATAAAGATATGACAGGCTTTCACCATCAAGTTGCAAAGATATGGGGATTAGAAAATTTGGGTTTGTGGCAAAAATTCAATTCCTTTGTTTAAAAATTCGAGGGCCAATTAAATTCTCAAAACGTTTTATTTTATTTGTCGGATTTTTTTCTTTTAAAACCCCCCCACAGTTCTATTTCGGCCAATGTAACTGCCTGGCTGTCAGGCCACTATATAATGAATCTCTATTTCAAGCCAATAAAAAGCACTAGAGCTTGATCAATGGAATCCTAATGACCTCAGCGGCAAAAATGGGTTTAGTGTATTTCAATTGAAAAATTCATTAAAAAAAATGAAATTATAACTGGAAAACATGAAAATACGAAAACATGTAGGTCATTGTTAAAAAAATAGAATATTGCATTTGCATTATTTGTGACTTTTTTCTCCTAAAAAAAATTAAATTATCATTAATATAAAGTTTATAAACACACAGAAATACACTTTATTTGATTTTCCCAAGGAATTGAACACAATTTTCTAATCCCTATACTTTTGCAAACCCTGATATTTCAAACTCAGTAATTAATATAACAGAACTCAGTATTTAAAAATATTAGTTCTACGACAACTACGAATATGAAAATTAGAGACATATCACTGTAAATTAAACAGAAGAAGAAGGTATAATTTATGTGACATTGTCGGTACAATTTTGTGACCTCGTAGCTCCTTTAGTTTGGATTTTATGCACAAGAATTAGAAAACAAAGGAATTGAGTTTTTGCCACAAACTCAAATCTTCTGATCCCAATATCTTTGCAATCTCATTGTGCAAACCTTTGATATTTCAAACTTAGCTTATTTTATCTTTAAGTATTAATAGTTTGACATATCTAAGGTCTACGACATTGGGTTACAAAGATATAGAGATTAGAAAATCAGAGTTTGTGGCAAAAACTCAACTTCTTTATCCGGTTATATACTAAAAATTCAAATAATTGATTTCCTTCTCAATATTACTTTTTTTTAAAGATTTTCAACATACGTAACATTTACTATAATTTGACGTGATATGCAGAGCACTCAGTTAAGAGATTAATAAAATATTTTAGCCAACCAGGATTTTAATCCCCCCCCCCCCTCCAGCAAACAACACATACATTTTTCCCCTTGTCGTATTTTGTACAAAACATTTCAATAAGATGACGACGAGAGATAAAATAATAAAGAAATTGAGTAAAAAGATTAAAGGGACTGTGGACGAAATTTTACGTGACATTCTATTTCCTATAACACTTTTACCTGTATAACAATGAGAGAGATATCCTTGCTAATAGTGTTAAATTATGTCAATTTCGTTCGATGTCTCTATGCGCATATTTCTGCAAAGCATTTTTATATAGAAACCACAATTGATGAAAATCAGTTTTTAGCTAGAAAAATAAGTATACCTCCTTTATTCTAGACCAGATGAGGGTTTACAGGGTATTTTTGTGAATGCCGCGCATTTTTTAAATGGAAGGTCACTTTAAATTACATTTACAGTCCCTTCAGATAAAATTCTGACTCTCATCTTGTCTGTGTAGTGTTTAAGTAACAAAAAGATTTTTTATTTGTCATCTTGGCGGTCTAGTGTCATGTTTACAGGGTGTAGTAGAGCTATACAGTGAGAACTAGAAAACTGGAATAGAAAGACGATATAAACCGACATTTAAAGTGTATTTGATCTTGTTTCAAAGCAAATATTTTCATCAAAAGATTAAAAATCAACGTGAAATATTATGGACTATTTGAATAATGTCTAAATGTTCTCACTGTAGCGTGTAAATTTCTTTTCCGGATTCTTAGTAGAAAAATAACATTTGTTTCATTTATATTTGATAGAATTTGTTCGTTTGGCGTGTGCCTTTTTTCTGCAAACAAATTTAGCAATACTGTAAAAAAGCAATTTTTTAGAAGAGACAGAAACAGATTTGTAAAATTCTGAACTTCTAAGATTTTTAAAAGTCCTAAAACCTTGAAAGTTTAAAAGGACAATAATTTCAACTGAACCTTCATCAAAGATCAGATACTGCCCAGCCTATACCCCCTTTCATTTTTCGCGAACACTCCCTTTAAATGAAAAAAAAATTCTGAAGATATCCTTGTTATTCTCTCTGAATTTATAAAACCTTGAAGTAGTCCAACACATACTCACAATATATAAACAATATCAAAACACACTCAAAAGGACTGAAAGCGTAATTTCAAGTGACCCTTCATGCAAAGATGACAATCCTGTTTTACAACGGTTCCCTTTAAAGCTTTGTCTGATCAAGAATCAATTAGATTGGATCGTGGAGTGTTTTTATAATTTTAAAAACTTATTTGGGTTTCTCTACTATGTACTAAAGTGACTTGAGCGTTTCCACTGCAGGAAATAAACACTTTCAAACCTCGAGAAACGATAATATCTTCCACATTATTGATCAGATAAAGCTTTCAGGGGTACCGTTGTGAATCGTGCAATTACCAACTTTCCATGGATGGTCACTTAAAATTACGCTTACAGTCCCTTCGAGGGTGTATTGTGTGTGCAGTGTGTGTATGTGTTTGACTGCAGTTAAGAATTGAAGAGAATATTTTGACAAACAACAAGATATGAAGAAAATTATAGGTTTCCACATTCCAGGTTCAAGTATCAGATATATAGATTTATATACCCTTGATGCTTACTTTCCACCATCTATATGTTTGTATTCGTCATTCTGGCTGTTACTTTCATCCATAATATACACGTTTTATACAAAACAAGAGTTCGCCTAAAAATACAAATAAATTGCACTGATTTAAACTGTTAAAATATTATTGTCAGAATTGTTTATTGTTAAGAGCTCGCCAGCACTGAGAATTTGATCAAACAAACAAAGAAATTGAGTCTTTGATACAAACTTAAATTTTCTAATTCATATATCTTTGCATAGTTTAAAATATTTAAGGTTTACGACGGAAAATTAAAAATAACCATTTTTTATAAAAAGATCAAATCAAAAGTTTTCACCCAAAAACCTAATTGACTAGACGAACTTGAGACCAAGATGAGGAGAGAACTAGCTTTCCTCTGGATCCTTATGTTTCCTAAAATACTATTTTTGATCCAAGTTCAAGGGAACAGTGGTCTCTTGTTGTAAATAAGATTGTAATAAACTTAATACCAGCTTAACATTGAATACAAAATTTAGCAAAAAGAGATTATATATTTTTAGCATAGCAGTTTTTCTATCTCTTCGACCCGATGTTGTAGACCATAGATAGTTTAAAGGTATGAATTCTTCAAACGCCTCAGTTTAAAATTTCAAAAGGTTTACACCATCAGGTATGCAAATGTATCAGAAGGATTAGAATATTTTAGTTTGTGGCAAAACTCTTTATTCGCTAAACTTTATGACATAATTTGCATTTAAAGCTCTACAAGCCTCAGCTTAAAAATTTTAGACATCACATGGTCTCAACATTGAAAATCTAATCATGAAGGATCCTTATTTTCCGTTTTTTGCGACACCCTATCTATTCATCAATTTATCTATTTTTCTATCTATCTATCCAGCTATAAATCCCGTGTTCCCTTCTCTATAATTTCCCCTACAGACTACAGACTCAAGAATGCTTAATGGGCAGAAAATTTAGGTGGGAATTAAAGTTGTGGGTGGGACTCGGAGCTGGAGCTAGGGGGGACCCTGAGTAACCAGTCCCGGAGAGAACCATTATTAAACTTCAATTCTAGAACTGAAGATCGGAGTGAATATTCTCCGATCCTGCAATTTAACCCAATCCGTTTCCTCCTAGGGGTCTTCTTACCAGTACTTATTGAGTTTTCAAAATTACCCAAAACCACCTTTTCCAACAAATATGGTAATTAGTGGGGGGTTCAGGACAATATCAGTTCAAGAAGAATTTATTCTCCCTCCTCCTCCATCTTTATCTCCTCCCCCTCCCTCCTCAATGATCTCAACTCCACCCCTTCCCGTACATTTTTAACAATAGGCGTTCCATCCCTCCCTGCTCTCCTTAACCCTCCTTTAGACCCTTCTTTTTTACTTTGAGTCTTTGCCACAAACTCTGCTTTTCTAAACCCTATATCTTTGGATTCCAATGTCGTAGACCTTGGATATTTCAAACTATGAATTCTGTTAGATCAAATAATATAAGTTTGAAATATCAAAGATTTTCGACATTGGGTTCCAAAGAATTAGGGATTATAAATTCAGAACTTGTGACCAAGACTCAATTCCTTTACTTTTTTTAAATTATGGATTTTAATACAATTAATTAAAGATGTGTTTATTCCGTTGAAAGGACTGAGCACATTTTCCATTTTCTACGTTTTCTTACATCACACCCTATTTTTGAAAACTCACAGTTTGTCCACCTAGAGTTTCATCCCATTTTTTCACTTACAGACCAGCTTTTAAATTTTGTCCACCCTCTACCATATATACTTCTACTGTTAAAATTGGCGGTAAACCCTGAAATCTTTGCTCTCCTAATTCTTATCGGAGCATTTTAACCTCAAAAATGTTCAGGCATTAATTTACTTTATTTATGGGGAAATGTTCAAGTAAATGACCTTCTCTGCCCCTGGGTATAACGTATGTCTAGGCTTCGATCCAAATATTTTCAACATTAAAGGAAAAAAAGTGACATGTTTAATTCACAAGGGTACCCTATAAACTTATGACATAACAATGAAAACGAAATCATAGTTTTCTACAAAAGTGTTAAGTTCTGTCAATCCAGTCCCATATTCCAGTATCCCACTCCAGTTCCTAATCCAGTATCCTACTCCAGTATCCAACCCCTACTCCATTATCCAACTGCTCCCCTAGTATCAAACCCTACTCCAGTATCCAAATCCTGCTCCTGTATCCAACCCCTACTCCAGTATCCTTCTCCGGTATCCAGCTCCTCCTCCAGTATCCAACCCCTCCTCCAGTATCCTACTCCAGTATCCTTCTCCAGTATGTTCCCCTTACTTCAGTATCCAACCCCTACTGTACTATCCAAATCCTACTCCAGTATCCAACCCGTACCCTAGTATCCAACCCCTACTCCAGTATCCAACCCATACTCCAGTATCCAACCCCTACTCCTGTATCCAACTCTACTCTAGTATCCAACCCCTACTGTACTATCCAAATCCTACTCCAGTATCCAACCCCTACTCCTGTATCCAACCCCTACTCCAGTATCCTACTCCAGTATCCAACCCCTACTCCTGTATCCAACCTCTACTCCAGTATCCAACTCCTACTCCAGTATCCAACCCCCTACTCCAGTATCCAACCCCTACTCCTGTATCCAACCCCTACTCCAGTATCCACCACCTACTCCAGTATCAAACCTCTTTTCCAGTATCTGACCCTTACTCCAGTATCCTACTCCAGTATCCACCCCCTACTCCATTATCCGAGTTACTTCCCCTCTATGAATGTTTGTTGCTAAAATCTGTTGAAAGTGTATAAATTCATATTTTTACAGTTTTTAGTTTTATTTAAAGCAGAAAACTAATGTGCTGTAAATAATTGCATCTTTTGCAATATGCACCGGGAAATGCCAATATAATTGCAAAATTTAAATTAGATTATAGAAAATTCGCTCATTTTTAAAACAACCTATGCCCAACATAAAGGCACATAATACTGAAATGATAAGAAGAAAAGTTCCTTATTTTAGTATATATCCGTGTTATCTAATTCCTTATTTTAGTATATATCCGTGTTATCTAATTCCTTATTTTAGTATATATCCGTGTTATCTAATTCCTTATTTTAGTATATATCCGTGTTATCTAATTCCTTATTTTTGTATATATCCGTGTTATCTAATTCCTTATTTTAGTATATATCCGTGTTATCTAATTCCTTATTTTAGTATATATCCGTGTTATCTAATTCCTTATTTTTGTTTGAAAAAATTCTATGATGTGCAAAGTTCTAATCTTATGCAGTTGACCCTTGATATTTAAATTATGAATTCCATTGGATCCAAAAGTCAAAGTTTAAAATATAAAAGCCTTACATCATGCATTAGGATGCAAAGATATAGAAATTAGAAAGTTAGAGTCTAAATGAAATATTTTGCATTTGTTAAATGATTTTTTGCAGACGAATTTTATTGATATCAGCATATAGACAGTTAATAATTTGTAATTTGTAAATTGTAAATTGTCTGCATTATTTCACAAGTTCTTGAAAAGCTGTTTTCTTTTAAATATTCTTAGAATTAATTTTAGTTCGTCGTCATGATATGGTTATTATACTTTATAATTATTATTATTCATATTATTATTTTAAACAACTGTTACAGATTTCTTACAATTATTTACTAGAATTAAACAGAACCGTGATATCTTTAGAATTTCAGTATTTCATGAATTTATAAAAAAAATTATTTTAATATCATCGAGAAGTAAGACAAGAATTAAAAAATATGATATTTAATTTAAAAAGTTAATCTTTTTATTTTACATAGTAAATTTAAAAGCATATAAAACCGCGAAACCTTATTCAATCCTTAATATTCTAGAAACTCTGAAGAAAAAATTCTTGCTTTTCTTTTCAGATTTACAAAAATTATTCTAAATAATCATAGTTACAAGTTATGTTGAGATACAAAGAAAAAGCAATTCACTCATTTGTTTTCACATATTTGAATTATAAAATGATTTTAGAAAATCAAATCTTGCTTTTCATGCAACAGCAATACATATTAACACAAAATAAATATTCACAAAGAGAGGTGATTGAAAATATAAAAAAGTTTTTGTAAATTTTTTTTGCCGTCGCTTTAATGGAATTGTATTTGTACGACAGTGAGTAATTTTTGCAGTATATGTATAATGTTTGAAAAAAACCTTTTTTTTCTTAGAGCATGATAAATTCTTTACCGATTAATATTTGAAAAAAAATGAAAAATAGTAAAGATTAATTGCTTTTTTACTTGGAACTAAACTTCTTGTTTACTGAGAACTGTACTGCTTGTTTACAGGAAACTGTACTTCTTGTTTACTGGAAACTGTAATGCTTGCTTACTTTAAACTGTACTGCTTGTTTACTGGAAACTGTACTGCTTGCTTACTGGAAACTGTACTTCTTGTTTACTTGAAACTGTACTGCTTGTTTACTGGAAACTGTACTTCTTGCTTACTTGAAACTGTACTGCTTGTTTACTGGACACTGTACTGCTTGTTTACTGGGAACTGTACTTCTTGTTTACTGAGAACGATACTGCTTGTTTACTTGAAACTGTACTGCTTGTTTACTGGAAACTGTACTGCTTGTTTACTGGAAACTGTACTGCTTTTTTACTGGGAACTGTACTTCTTGTTTACTGAGAACGATACTGCTTGTTTAGTTGGAACTCTACTGCTTGTTTACTGGAAACTGTACTGCTTGTTTACTTGGAACTGTACTGCTTGTTTACTTTAAACTGTACTGCTTGTTTACTTTAAACTGTACTGCTTGCTTACTTGAAACTGTACTGCTTGTTTACTTGGAACTGTACTGCTTGTTTTCTGGGAACTGTACTGCTTGTTTACTGGAAACTGTACTGCTTGTTTACTGGAAACTGTACTGCTTGTTTACTGGGAACTGAACTGCTTGTTTACTGGGAACTGTACTTCTTGTTTACTGAGAACGATACTTTTGTTTACTTGAAACTGTACTGCTTTTTTACTGAGAACGATACTTCTTGTTTACTTGAAACTGTACTGCTTGTTTACTTGAAACTGTACTGCTTGTTTACTGGAAACTGTACTGCGTGTTTACTGGGAACTGTTCTGCTTGTTTACTGAGAACTGTACTGCTTGTTTACTGGAAACTGTACTGCCTGTATACTGTAAACTGTTCTGCTTGTTTACTGGGAACTGTACTATTTGTTTACGTACTGCCTGTTTACTGAGAACGATACTGCTTTTTTACTTGAAACTGTACTGCTTGTTTACTGGAAACTGTACTGCTTGTTTACTGGACACTGTACTGCTTGTTTACTGGAAACTGTACTGCTTGTTTTCTGGGAACTGTACTACTTGTTTACTGGAAACTGTACCGCTTGTTTACTGGAAACTATACTGCTTCTTTACTGAAAACTGTACTGCTTGTTTTCTGGGAACTGTACTACTTGTTTACTGGAAACTGTACTGCTTGTTTACTGAGAACTGTACTGCTTGTTTACTGGAAACTGTACTGCTTGTTTACTGAGAACTGTACTGCTTGTTTACTGGAAACTGTACTGCTTGCTTACTGGAAACTGTACTGCCTGTTTACTGAGAACGATACTGATTGTTTACTTAAAACTGTACTGCTTGCTTACTAGGAACTGTACTGCTTGTTTCCTGGGAACTGTACTGCTTGTTTACTTGAAACTGTACTGCTTGCTTACTAGAAACTGTACTGCTTGTTTCCTGGGAACGATACTGATTGTTTACTTAAAACTGTACTGCTTGCTTACTAGGAACTGTACTGCTTGTTTCCTGGGAACTGTACTGCTTGTTTACTTGAAACTGTACTGCTTGCTTACTAGAAACTGTACTGCTTGTTTCCTGGGAACTGTACTGCCTGTTTACTTAAAACTGTACTGCTTGCTTACTAGGAACTGTACTGCTTGTTTACTTAGAACTGTACTGGTGTAAGCTAGACTGCTGCTTGTCAATTATCTGCAATCAGACGTGTAATTACATTCTCCGACTTTCAATTAAATTCACGTTAATTATTTGATTAAAGGGAGAGGGTTGTTTAATGTCGGATACAAGTAGACATATGCCCGACATCACTTTATATCTTTTCATTAATCATCTGGAACATTCTTTAAGAATTTCATAATTTTCCGTCTTGGAATACCGATCCGTTATACTGGGTCTAATTGGTTAAATAACAACAAGAGTTGGACGTTACGTCCTTTGTTTGTAAACAATACACAGGGACCAAAGGCACCCCAATCATTGGCGCTAAACATTTTTTCTGGTCTCATTATTTGCAAGCGAAACTTGTGCTACGAGTGATTTTTTTCTCCATTTTTGCAATATGTAATTTACGTCATTACAACCTTATTCTACGTGAAAAAAATTCTTGCTTATTCTTTGCCCACTGCACCTCAATCCCCCATATCCCCCCCACCCCCAGGCTTGTTCTAACCGCATCGCCCGGCCCCTAGTCTATCCTAACTCTGAAAAATATAATGGAAGATTACTTTTTATTGAGAATAAAATATCGTAGCAAAACTACTGTAGTAATTCGGCGCCACTCATGAAAAAAGGTTGAAATTTTTTGTGATCATTAATTCAAAGCAAGGTCAAAGAAACTTCAATCATTGTTCCGGTTTCATACAATACACAGTGTATTACTTTGCCAAATGCAAAGTGCAATAATAAATGCTGGGATTGCAATATAAAGAATTCAGAGTGGAACCGGATACAAAATACCATGAATTTTGATGCACAACAACTTGCATTATTTACCATATAATTCCATCCCTTCAACCACCAATATAAATTTTGTACTTTTTGACTTTATATTTGTTGTTCTATAATTAACTTAGTTAAACTAGTTTTCTCTTTAATATTTTATCAAACCTATCTTACAAGCTAAGTTCCGTATAAATTCTAGTTTCTTCTCTGACCCTTATGTTTGTGTTCGTCTGATCCCTATTCTTAGATTTATTGCTCGTCAGACCCTTATTCATATTATGTTGATTAAAAATAGATAAATTTATTGCTAAAAACATTTTTGTAAGGTTTCCATTACAATGATGAGTGTAAAAGTTTAGCTTGATAACATTTTTTTTAAATTCAAATAACACTAATCCGCCAACTCTTTCCTGAAAATATGCAAGCAGAAAAAATACTGGAATATTCTGCAGTCGAGAACAGACCTCACTGAAGATTGGTCCATTACAATATGTCCATGAAACATTGTGTATGAGGATGTTTATCTGTTTTTTTGATTGAATAATAAATTAAATATTCAAGCTCTGCTCACCCAAGTATAGAGCACTCTGGTACACCTGGAATACCTGGAAGCTAGATAAAATTCATATATTTATTTAGATACAGTACATTGACATAAAATCTTATCTGTTGTTAGCAAAATGGTATAGCTAACGCCTATTCTTAGGTTTAGTGTTCTTCAGACCCTTATTCTAAGGTTTTGTGTTCTTCAGACCCTTATTCTTAGGTTTAGTGTTCTTCATTCCATTATTCTTAAGTTTAGTCTTCTTCATTCCATTATTCTTAGGTTTAGTCTTCTTCATTCCATTATTCTTATCTTCATTCCATTATTCTTAGGTTTAGTCTTCTTCATTCCATTATTCTTAGGTTTAGTGTTCTTCAGACCCTTCTTATCAGGCTTAGTGTTCTTCAGAACCTTATTCTAAGGTTTAGTGTTCTTCAGACCCATATTCTTAGGTTTAGTGTTCTTCAGACCCTTATTCTTAGGTTTAGTGTTCTTTATACTTTTATTCTTAGGCTTAGTCTTCTTCAGACCCTTATTCTTAGGTTTAGTGTTCTTCATTCCATTATTCTTAGGTTTAGTGTTCTTAAGATCCTTATTATCAGGCTTAGTGTTCTTCAGAACCTTATTCTAAGGTTTAGTGTTCTTCAGACTCTTATTCTTAGGTTTAGTGCTCTTTAGACCCTTGTTCTTAGGTTTAGTGTTCTTCAGACTTTTATTCTTATGCTTAGTGTTCTTCATTCCATTATTCTTAGGTTTAGTGTTCTTTAGACCCTTGTTCTTAGGTTTAGTGTTCTTCAGACTTTTATTCTTATGCTTAGTGTTCTTCATTCCATTATTCTTAGGTTTAGTGTTCTTTAGACCCTTGTTCTTAGGTTTAGTGTTCTTTAGACCCTTATTCTTAGGTATAGTGTTCTTCAGACCCTTATTCTTAGGTATAGTGTTCTCCAGACCCTTATTCTTAGGTAGAGTGTTCTTCAGATCCTTATTCTTAGGTTTAGTGTTCTTCAGACCCTTATTCTTAGGTATAGTGTTCTTCAGACCCTTATTCTTAGGTATAGTGTTCTTCAGACCCTTATTCTTAGGTATAGTGTTCTTCAGACCCTTATTCTTATATATAGTGTTCTTCAGACCCTTATTCTTAGGTATAGTGTTCTTCAGACCCTTATTCTTAGGTATAGTGTTCTTCAGACCCTTATTCTTAGTTGTAGTGTTCTTTATACTTTTATTCTTATGCTTAGTGTTCTTCAGACCCTTATTCTTAGGTATAGTGTTCTTCATTCCATTATTCCTAGGTTTAGTGTTCTTCAGAACTTTATTCTGCGTCGAAAAATAATCGATGACTACTGTTTTTAATATCTGAATGATTTGTTTGGAATTAAATTGATTTGTTTACGATCGGAGTTGAATGTTGCATTTTTCCGAATTTGTGTGGACGCTGCGTTCTTCGGTGTGAGTCGTTTTAAACAATTTTCTCCTTATAGACGCAACAGATAGAAGTAAGATTAGTAGCGATCAAAAGCGCTTTTTTATCGCATTAAGCCTTTACCCCTGTTCATTTTTCGCGAACACTCCTTTTAATACCATTATTTTTAGGTTTAGTGTTCTTTAGAACCTTATTCTCAGGCTCAGTGTTCTTCAGACCCTTAATCTCAGGCTCAGTGCTCTTCAGACCCTTATTCTCAGGCTCAGTGCTCTTCAGACCATTATTCTCAGGCTCAGTGTTTTTCCGATCCTTATTCTCAGGCTTAGTGTTTTTCAGATCCTTATTCTCAGGCTCAGTGTTTTTCAGACCCTTATTCTCAGGCTCAGTGTTTTTAAGATCCTTATTCTCAGGCTCAGTGTTTTTCAGACCCTTATTCTCAGGCTCAGTGTTTTTCCGATCCTTATTCTCAGGCTCAGTGTTTTTAAGACCCTTATTCTCAGACTCAGTGTTTTTCAGATCCTTATTCTCAGGCTCAGTGTTTTTCAGATCCTTATTCTCAGGCTCAGTGTTTTTCAGACCCTTATTCTCAGGCTCAGTGTTTTTCAGACCCTTATTCTCAGGCTCAGTGTTTTTCAGACCCTTATTCTAAGGTTTATTGTTTTTTAGACCCTTATTCTCAGGCTCAGTGATTTTCAGATCTTTATTCTCAGGCTCAGTGTTCTTCAGACCCTTACTCTTACGTTTAATGGTCATCAGAACCTGATTCTTTTATTTAATGTTCTTCAAACCCTTATTCTTATGTTAAGTTTCTAATTATATTTTTATTTTGACTTTTGTTCTTCAGTTAATTTTTTCATTACGTTTTCAGATAGAAAAACGACAATATCTTCCTCATTGATCTTAATACTCCGATAAAGGTTAAAGGTACTGTTGTGAATCGGATATGTCACTCTATAAATGGAGGATTCCTTGAAATTATGCTATGCTTCCCTTTACGTGTGGAACTCTGGTAGCTAAAACCTTAAACTAGTAAAAACTCATATTCTATCCACAAAGCAAATGTATTTTTTCAAGATTTATTCTTTTTTTCCACCCTGTACAGCGAAGATAAATGTGAGAGCATGTAATATCTCACCCGAACCCATCGTAAACTTCAAACTTAATTATAAAGAAGTTTAATTAAGTTAGGTTTATCTCCACATAGCGCCTTGTAGTTATATACCAATATATGGGGGTATATACAGGGCTTTCATGTTTTAATACTTTCGGGCTTTTTAGGTCTAAAATATTATATAATCATTGTGAAGTAAAAATTTAACTTTACATAAAAAGAAAACAGGTTGATTAAGTTAAACAGTTGAATTGTCTACGAAATTGCCTGTTATTCCTTGTACTAACTAGAAAATCGTTCTGAAAATGTGAATGGTATTAACAGTCATGTTAATTAAATTGTTATTACAGTTCATCAAATATATCTTTATAGCTTGGCCTTCTTATATCCATCCTTGCAGTCTACGGTCTACTAGATCAAATTTACACTCTACACTCTATACTCTACACTCTACACTCTACACTCTACACTCTACACTCTATACTCTACACTCTATACTCTACACTCTACACTCTACAC